TCCTACACGTGCGAAATTTGATAAGGCTTAGCAACTTACAGCAAGCAGCAAAAAAGTTCATAACTAGAAGAGGTAATTGTTTCTATACTTCTTTATTTACTGTTCTATGTTTTAAGAAATATAACTGAAATTTAATAACTTGTTTGTAAATAGTAATAATGTATATACATATATAATGTATTATAACCAAAATGTCACTGTATTTTACAAAATACTGGTCCACTAGAACACAGCCAAGACAGGTTACTTTTTAAAGGTCAGTTTTATAAGTGCATGTGTGCTGCATCATTGTAATTTCTTTAATGTTAGTGAGGCACTCCTGAAAGTTCAATGAAATAAAAATAATAACTGTATATAGATGTATAATGTTATGAGATTTCAGCTATTTAGACTAAACATTTGTGTTTTCGTGTTATAATTTGTAGTCATTCTGGAATGAAAAAAGCATAATTTATATCTATTTCCTCATTTTTTATGGTGTTTACGAGGTCAGTCAAATTGACCAAACCCACACAGAGATACAATAGTGAAAATAACAGAAAAGATATAAAGTTTTTCTAAATAAACCTTTTAATAATTATATGTAGTTTATAAAAATTTTGTATGTGAAATGTGAAAATGTTCTGATGCATAAAAGTATTTTTAATCTTAAAAATCATAATTACTTTGCATGTTGAATAGTCAACAATCAAAAAGAATAAATTCATGAGTAAAACATAACTTAAAGAATAAAACTTATTAAAAACCTGATATTTTGTATATGAAGGTCTTGTAATGTTTACTAATAATCTGCAAAATTTTGTGAACATATGCTTGCTGTATTAAAAGTTATAGCATGAAAACTATAACAAGCACAAAATGGTTACAAGATCGGTCCCTGGGACTGAGCCCATAGAGAGAGAGTTAAATTCTTTACTTCTCTGAAGTGTGGTAAATAAATTAGAGAAGGGGGAAGACCTAGAGAACAAATGTCATAATTTTCATACTAGGGGAGCTTGAGGATTTTTTAAAATATTTCCTTATAAAATTAAGAATTTAAAACTTATATTAAAATATGATTTATTAACTACATTTTGATGCCAAGTTTATTCATATATAATGATAATAAAGTTGTTTAATTAAATTTTGAATGTAACTCACTAAAAAGTCTCAAAATGCACACTTTGACCTGCTTGTGGTAATAGTGTTAATATTTTGTGCTTGTATAAGCAGTGTTAAAAGTGCCATAACTTTATACAAGCTAAAAGTTGCATTACACATATGAAGCACACAATATTCTAATCATGTCTGGGGAAAATATTAAAGTACAATTGATCAAATTTTCAAAGTCAAACATGAGTACCTTTTCTTGAAAACTGGGACTCTTAAATTGCTAGAAACTGTGTTTTTGTCAATTTTTGATTTAATTATATTTCTGTTGATGCTTTTTAGCATACATTCACATTTTTATTTGTACGAGACAGTAAAAATTAAACAGTCACTAGTATTAACAGAAAACAAGTATTGATTCCTAGAGAATAGGGGCATGTAAAATGGTAGTAGATAAATTAAAATTTGTAATGTTAATTAGTTATTACATGTGAAGTAAAAGGAAAGTGTAACATTTTTATATATCTTTTAAACAAAATGTTACCATACTGTTCAATATTGCTATAATGTTTTATTGTGTAGATAAATAACATTTTTGTTTTGTTAGCAGTGTCAAATTTCCATGTTTTATAGAAAGAATGTATATTTGATATGCATTCATGGTATTTATGAAAAGTAAGATCAAGAAGAAAATAAGTCACAGTTCAAGAAACCCAGTAATTCAAGTGCTTTGGGAAGTTCTATTTGCCAAAAATGTTTCATTTAGATCATTCTCAATTTGACCCTGAAGAAAAAAAAATCTACTTTCAGTAAATACTCGGGTGATCAGTAGTCTGAAATCTATTGCAAATGTGATTTATTTGTCTAGTAACAAAGTTGATTTTGTAACTTTACATCTTGACTTCAGTTTATTTAAATATGTAATGTAGATGAAAAAAAGAAAAAACACAAAAAGAAGAAAAAAAAGCATAAGCATCAAAAAGCAAAGAAAAGGGTGAAGAAGAAAAGCAAACATACTAAGAAAAAGAAAAAAGCCAAAGTGTCAAGTACAGAAAGCAGTAGCAGTGACGACAGTTCTGACAAGGATGAAAAGCAAGAACTTGCCTTATGGGTGGAAAGAAAAGGTAACCGTAATTGTTATTTATCCACAGTATTCCATACATAAGTTACACAGTTATTCAATACATAATGATACAAGAAGTATTAAAAAACTTAATATGTATCTGTATATGAAAACATGGCCAAAGGTTTATTTTTTAAGATACACATTATCAGTGTATTTGTTACAGTGTAGTATTATTAACCATCTAAATTTTTTTTATCAGTCTATGATAATTTTGTTTAATACCAAGCAACATTTCGACTCATGCCTTATTTACATAAGTATTTTTTACAATAGACAGAGATAATGAAGATGAAGAGGAAGATGACACAGTGGGACCATTACCTAAGTCGCATGTACAACTATCTGCAAAAGAGTAAGTATACTTTCTCATAAATATTTTACAAACATTGTAAAACATAGTTGTAGGAGCAAATGTTTTTCTCTTACAAACCCTTTTGTTCAGACATGTGTATTTGTTATCCATTCTTAGACTTCCACAGGTCACTTCAACGCACAACTCTTACTAAGTGAGGACACATAGTATGTGTCTAAATAATCAAGCAAGTTCAACATATACAACTTTTATTATCTTAGTGAGGACACATTGTATATATACTTTCACACAAGCTCAACACACAAATCTGTGTAAGTGAGTACATACCTCAGTTTACATTCAAATGTTAAATCAATGTTTATTTAACATTTGCTGTATTGTTTTTCAACAGTGTTGGATAAGAGTCCATTTGATCATTGATTTAATGTTGGCAAGCAAACAATGTTATAGCTATACTGATCATTTTAATTGTATCTGTTAATTTTAGGTATTTTTTCCTTGCCCCTTAAACAGTTTTACCAAGGTACCATATAATATCAAATATAGACCTTCATCCATGCATGTGTTATCTCTCACTTTTCCAAATGGTTTCCCCTTTTTCATTATGCAAAACATAATACATACTTTTCTTTTGTTAAGATACTATCCAGAACATGGTTACCCGTTTTAAAGTCCTTGCATTTAGAATAAATGTTTCATTCGTATCATGTCCACATACTTTAACTATGTTGGGTCTAAATGAATGCTATGTCAGTTACTGTGAAAATACATTTGACTTGTGAATAGTGTTGTACTTTATATAACAAAGCTATGGTGAGCTATGTCTTTATTTCAACTTGTGTTTCTATTAAAGTTGTACATATGTTAATCATAGAATAACAAAAATATGAAAAACTAAAAAGATAAAAATTTAACTGGTGTCTTTTATTTTTCTTTGCTCCCTTTCTTTCCATCCACCATCTCACTCCAAGGCAAACATAAACCACTTTCTTGATTCCTTCACTTGTTCACATGTGGTTTTTGCAGGAAAAGGATTTTTCTTTATAGCTCCTAAAGTAACTTATCTATTAATGTAATGCCATTTTTGTTACCAGTAACTATTTTTCTAACTACCAGAAATGTACTTTCATCAAAATTTGTCTCAAATTATAGTTTAATTTTAATCAGATTAAAATACTACAAGTTTAGATCTAATCTGGCCTTAACTAAATTTCATATCTTTACAGTTTTAGGTTGGCTATTATAATTACTTTTTTCCATTTAGAGTAACAATAATTTTAATTTAAAATCTTATTTGAATTAAATTAATGTATTAGGTCATGAAATGCTTGTTAGGCCTATTGCTTATAGTAGTTCATGTGGTTAAAAACAAAACATTTAAGTTCTGTAAAAATTAATTTATATAAGGCTTTATTTTTCAGATAGTTTAACACTCTTTGAACATGTCTAATTAATATTCCCCCTACACAAGTTGTAAATCACGTGGTGAATGTGTAACTCACATTACCCTATTGAATTACATAATGCCCAGGCTACTTGCGAGTTGATCGTGAGTGTACCTTATGAAAAATTATTATTATTCTTTATTTTACTTAGTCTAACCTTATATAACATAAAAAGTTTATATTTTTACATTTTAGTTACTTTTACAATTATAAATAAAGAATACACATAAAAAACAATAAAGTACTTACATAGGCCTTTTTTTTTGCTGTCAGCTGTCGATGAAACTTAAACCTACTTTTTTATACTAATGGTACTACTGGACTAAGTATTTTTTTATTTAATTAAATAATACACCAAAGAACACAGAATAATAACATGCAAAAAACAGACAAGAACTGTGAAAAATTCAGCTAAGCTCTTTGATGTATTTCCCCTAGGAATAAAGATTGTACTGGAAGCAAAATAGGCACTTCTCTGTACAGAAAACAATGTAATATAAGATGTCATTTCTGTTGGTTGTAAGTAATATAGTATTAAATGTCAGAAAGAACTATTGGCAATTTGTAAAAGAGAGGAAGCAACATGAGAATGGCAAGATTGGTCTGATTTTCTAGTTTATGGCGATGACAATATCATAATGAGTAACGTAATAGATATCATACTTCTCAGAGGGGTGGTAAATAGATTAGTGAAAAGGGGGGTATACCTAGTGGGCAAATGTCACAATTCTTGTACTAAGGGAAATTCTGATTTTTTTTAAATATTGCCTTATAAAATTAAGAATTTAAAACTTATACAAGTAATAAAAAAACACTATGTAAATGTAAAACTTTAATATCGAAAGTCATGTAGGGATGATCTATGACTATGTATAGCTATACCATCCCTATATTCTTGTTTGTATTCTTTTTCACACTGCCATCCCTACATCATTTTACATTTACAAAATGATTTTTATTACTTGTCTTGTGACATTTTTTCCCCCTGACTGAATGTTAGTGTATTCTGTGAATTTATGCAATAAAATTTAATATTATGTGTATATATACATTTTTTTTTTACTCCTTCACTCATACATAATATAGAGGTTGGATCCCTAAAGATACAGATTGTATAATGTACAAAGCATTGAGTATTCTACATGTCACAGTCATCTGATTTTCATCTATTATTGGCTGGTAATTCCTGTTTTACTCTGTTCTTAAGCTTTTTAAAGGAACACCAGATTTCTGTAAAAAAAGCTAACTTCAAGTGGTAATGATAACGCTTACCCTAGAATTATGACTTTTTTTTTTTAACTACTACTAGTTATTATTACTAAGCACTGACATCATGCACTACCCAGAAACACACATAGAGTGGACTTAGGTTTAAACTGATGTTAGTGATAAAGTAATTGTAGTTATCTCTATTGAAACAAGATTAAAGATTGTCAATTTCATGGGTTGGTTACTTTCTGGTTTCATATACTAGTGATGGTTTCATTCCTTTTTTGGGGGCTTGTTGGGTACAGAAACAAATGAAAGTGTGTGTCAATCATCTTTTAAAGTAAAACTCTCTGTCATTGTTTGTTTTTTAGTGTGCATATTTGTATTATGTCTATTGAGTACCTGTGATCGTCTCTACGTATAGAATCTACTGACTCTATGATAATATTAAAAGTTGGATTATTAGCTATGTTTTGATGCCAAGTTTATTCATATACCATGATAATAAAGTACTTCAATTAAATTTTGAATGTAACTCACTAAAACCTTGTAACATGCACAGAAAAAGATGCCCAAAGCAAGAGTGGTAATTGGGCTTCCTCGATTTTCTTTTTCAATTTTTGTTTTCCTTAGAAATTATGAGAAATGAGTGAAGGCAGATTTCATAACCAGTCTTGTTAATGTGGGTATTGATATTTATCCCTGTTTCACATATTTAGCTTGCTGTACAGTCCTGGTATTTGTAAGTAACATTAGACCTTGCATCTTTCAACACAAATAAACAGTTGTTTACTTTAAAAATTACATGAAATGAATGAGAGATGCTTTACCAGCCAAAGAAATAAAAAAACCTCTGTAAACAAATACCCTAATTCCCCACTATATTTATTCATTAATGGTATTTCAGCTGCTTTATAAATGTTTCACTTAAACTGTTATATTTTCAAATGTAACTCTTCAACACTCATATTTTGTACCTGATGATAAGTAATCTTATCGAAATGTCATAATTGTTGTTTTTTCTTGATTTCATCTTACTGTATAGCCATTTTAAAAGTTTACTTATTCAAACCCCACAGCTGTTGTATGGGGTTAAGATCTGAACTTTGTGACAGCCATTCCATTTGTTGAAGATCTGAGTTTTTTTTTTCTCTTTGCCAAATAAGCTTGACATTTCTTGGATGTGTGTTTGGAGACTTTATCTTCTTTAAGTAAGAAATTCTACCCAATCAGCTTCTTTCCAGAGGTTATAGCATGATGGACTAAATACTGTGGTATTTATACTCATCCATAATTCCATCAGTTTGATGAAAATGGCCAATACCATTCACAGATATTGCACCTCTAAACCATCGCAGAGCCTTTTGTAAGTACTGTTAGCACAATGCATTCCTTCTGCAACCTCTCTTTGATGAACATTGTTCCAAAGATCAGAATGCATGCTCTTTCACAAAAGCTAGGATCTTGACTATATTCTTTTAGTGCAACAAGGGCTTTCTTGCTTCTACTCTTCCTCAAAGACCACCATATTTCTGCAGAGTTCTTGAACTTGTTGATGTCATGGGAAAGATTTTTTGGTTTCTCTTAAGTTTTTCAGATAATTTATTTTTAATGTCTAATGCCTCTTTTATTGAGTTTTTTTTTTCTTCATGCCTTGCCTTGTCTGATGTTATAGGACTGGGTTTCCTTGTATCTTTCCAGTGTTTACTTTACAGTACTTGGTGAACAGCTGAGGTATTTTGCAATTGTTCTTAAACTCCACCCAACATCATGTAAATATTTGACTCTGACTGTATAAATGGGTATTAACTCTTTCTGTATTGACATTACCCTATATTAGCTGTAATGGACAATGTTTGAAAGAAAAAAAAATCTCTTGTATACATTCATATACCTGCATGAAGGTCCCAATTTTTTCTCAGTGATGACTAGTACCAAAAGTAAAAACAATTGCGTTACAAGGTGGAACCATTTTGTATTTAGATCAAACATTGAAAACTTTTAAAAAATCTACTGCATTTAATTATTTGTAGGTATGTGTTGCTTTCTTGAAAATTAATTAAATTTGTAGCACATTAAAGTCATTAATAAAGTAACAAAATCAATAATTTACTTATTTTTATACTTTTCTGAACATCATAAACTACAGTACTTTTATTTCATAAGCACAACAAATCAACATTAGGAGCAATGGGTTGTTTTAATAAGTTTGCACACTACTGTATATAATAACGTGCATATGTGTGTGTGTGTGTATATTTCTCCAATTATCATTTCACTTTTCTTTGATCTTTGTAGTCATTCTTGTGAAATATTGTTACTGTTCTTTTATAGTAATACATATTGTGAAAACCAATAATTACAGTATTATTGAAACTTGTATTATTGCAAAAATAATAGAAGTACATGGTATGGTTGCTACACATTTCAACAAATTTCTGCCAATAGCTGTGATCCTTGATGAATGTGTAAAAGGAAAATATTAGTAAATATATATATTTTTAATCTGGAGATATAGGTCATTTATTTGCCAAATTTCTACAATATTCCACATCATAAAGTAGACTGTTTTTTGTTTTGTGGTAAGAAGTAAAGACTATCATATTAGTAATTAATTTAAGGTGTGTTATCTCTAATACTTTAATAAAAAAACAACTTATCATATATGAATAATTTGTCAAAAGATGGAACAAAGTGGACCTAAATTTATTTTTGGAGCATTTAAAAATGTTATTTAATAAAACACTAAAATAATAAGTTCTTTTATATTTTTAAATCATCACAAAATAACAGATTTATTTTGTTTTCCATTATTATTCAATTTATCTTTGTGTTTTTCACCCTCTTCCTGTGCAAACTTTTAATATATGTAAAAAATACTGAAAACTGTAAAAGATCACGAGTGAGTGCTGAAGCATTGTGTAATATGTTTTGTTGAGTTCTGTGTCTGGGTGGGTTTTTACACTACCTTTGTGATATTGTTAAATGTAATTGGTTGTTTTTCACTTTCTGTATCAGTACATATTTTTTTTTGCACCACAGTTATGGTAAAGCCTTGTTGCCTGGAGAAGGTGCTGCTATGGCAGCATATGTTGCAGAAGGAAAGAGAATACCCAGACGTGGTGAAATTGGCCTGACTAGTGAAGAAATAGAATCATTTGAGCAGGTTGGATATGTCATGAGTGGTAGCAGGTGTGTGTTTTTCTTTTGTTTGTGATCTTCAGGTAATGTTTAAAGAACTTGACTAATAGTTAGATACATACATAAAATTGATATGTATTTGAATTTGACTCTACCGTACAAAATATAAAAAGTTAAACTGATTTTGAAAAATATAGTACATTGTATATTTTTGGTTGTTTTTGCTGCATATCATTAGATTTTCCTGAAAATTCTTCAGCTAAAGTACAGTGGTATGCAGCAATTGCCTCAGTTAGTGCTTTGCTTTTAGATGGAACATAATGTTTAGATCAGGTGACTGTGCTGATCATTTGAATCATGATATATGACTCTTTACATACTAGTCTAACAAATTTGTTCTGAAACATTACTGCTGTACAATAGATTTTCATCATCTACAGTATCTACAAGCAATTCTTTTGCATTCGTGACTCAAGCACCCTGACATAGCTGGTAACGTTTATCCATTGAACTACTTATGTATGGAATCAATACCCTTGTCAGACATGCAGCCCTGCGTTATTGCAGATGTGAGATGTTTTAATGTTACTGTTGTGCAGAATGGCGTGTATTCTTCTTCAACATGACTCTCATAAATACCACCTTTGTATGGTGAGATGCAGAAGTAGATTCATCACTCCAGTGATCAACAATCCAATTGTTATGAACCTGGTCCTTGACAGTTTTGGTAGAAACCTTCTTTGTGAGTGTCAGACCTATATCTGACAGTATTCATAAAAGTCTTCTAATGGTTTGTAGTTTGGTGACATCCAATTTTTTATATTTCTCAGCTGCTAACTTCTCTTCATGAAGTGGAATAATCTTGTGCTTTACATCAAGGAGACCTTTTAACTAGAAGCCATATTAAAAATTTTTTATATCATGTGACTACTGAAACAGTAACAAGGAACAGTGACACTTGAAACAATCTACTCTGAGTGGTCACAAGTAAATAGACACCTAATTTTTCGTCATTTAACTGATTTATGCTAACTAATTTGTGTTCACAGAGTACAATATAAATGAAAATGGTCCGCACACTAATTATCTTGTGCTACAACATGCCTAGAATTCAAGGTTCTCTCGAATTGTTAGAGGAAGGATAGTTGGTCAAGCAGATGGTGGAATAAGTCAGTGGCAAATTTTGCAGAATTTGGGAATCCCACTTTCGACAGTCAACAGAATCATTGTGCAGTTCAGGAAACAACTGAGCAGCGTTCGGGTCATCTTGGTCTATCGGAGAGGAC